TGGGCGTCGCGCCTCCCGCCGGGGGCGGCGCGGGGGCAGGGCCGGCCTCACCTCGCCGTGGCCCCGGCGTCGTCCCGGGGGCGGACTGGCAGTGCGTCGGCCCAGCAATTGGCACGGCGCGGGCGCTCGACTACGGTCCTTGCGTTCCTTGGCCGCAGCCGCCGCCTGCTCTGGAGGGCCAGGAATGCCCCTTCCGGGAGCAGGAGCTCGCGCGCCCCCCCCCCCCGCGACCCTGCACCGCCTCCGCACTGTACCCCAAGGCCACGGCTGCCCTTTCCTCTCCCTTCCCTGGACTTTGTGTTTCTTAAACTAGCCCCAGTTATCATTTCTAACCTGCCTATCGCCCGACACCAACTGTTGCGAGTTCCGTGGTAACTGCTTCTCTAAACTTCTCGGCCGAAACTGCTCCTCTCGGGAGCCTGTTTAAAGAAGCCGAGTTAAGAGTAAATGCCCGGATGCCCGTGGAATCACATAGCCCCAAAGTTGTAAAACGTGAGGAGGGTGTAGTTTATTAAGTCATTGGAAGTCTTGGGCAACGTTCGTAAACACAGTAAAAATGGAAACCAGGCGTTTTAAATTAAACGAAAAACGAGGTTTCTACTAGCAAGGCTGATTGACCATGGGCGAAATTCTCAAAGTGGCAATATTCGGAACCCCTCGTGTGTGGAGAGAAGTTAAAGAAAATCGTACTAAAGTGAAAATAGTATTTCAAAATAAGGCTAATTTAACAATACTTAAAGCAGAGTGTTGGAAAATAGCATAATTCCATATTTCAAGAAAGGCTCGAGAAATATTTTCAGTGACCAAAGAGATTTTCAGGTGAAAACCTGGGATAATTAAGTCCCAGGACTTAGGACGCTACCTGTTCCGTTTAAACAATTCTGATCGTAATTACTTGGCTGTTATTGGGGAAAGAAAGAGAAAAGAGAAAATGGAACGAAAGGAGAAAGCGGGGGCTGACTAGAAAAGCAAAATTTTTAAATGGAAAATAGATCCCTCTTTACCAATAAGCCCAATACCCTAGGATTCTGGCCTCCTCCTCACCTTTGGGTTTAAGCTTAAAGATGGTGCATTCCTGCTTTTAGATATTTAAATTTAAACATGAAGACTTAATTTTAATTACTGTAGTAGGTAAAACAAAGTCATTAAATACTTCCAAGAATCCCATTGGTGTATTGATTTGTGTCTTTTCAAAGCAGTGGTCCTGGTTCCTTGAACCAGGCACTTGTGGAATGTCGTGTCTATCCATAAACAGATGGACTGGGGGCTCCTTGGTGGCTCAGTCGGTTAAGCAACCGACTTCAGCTCAGGTCATGATCTCACAGTCTGTAAGTTCAAACCCAGCGTCGGGCTCTGCGCTGACAGCTTGGCGCCTGGAGCCTGCTTCGGATTCTGTGTCTCCCTCTCTCTCTCCTGCTCAGGCTCTCTCTGTCTCAAAAATAAATAAAAACATTTTAAAAAATTAAAAAAAAAAAAGAAGAGGTGGACTGATTGGGACTCTTGGGCAGAACTGGTTTGAGATGTATGAGTAGAATGGCATCACTGCTTCCCAAATCTAACACCAATGATTATTCCACAATTTTCAAAAGTCCACGTTATTTCATTGGCTAAAGAGTGCTGTCAAATGAGCAAACTATTAAGTCAGGAAATATTGAATTTCTGTGTACACAAAACTATCCTGAGTGGTGAGGGGAAAGGACAAATATGAGATCAAAGATTGCTGAGGACAGGCACCCTGCACATGTGATGGATGGCAGGACATCTTTTATCTTCAATCTGAATCTTCTTTTCCTCACCGCTAGGTGGTAGGTTTGCGTCTTGCAGCTTTTCACCAAGTTTCTATGGTTTTGGGAGGAAGCATGCTTCATAAAGTTTCAAATAAATGAACAACAACACGTAATTCTAAAATGAGTTAGTGAATATATTTTCCAGTTACCCATATAACCTGTTTAAAATGATTGAGCCAAGGGTAATACTTCCTCAACATAATCTCTTAAGGGGTCTCAGACATGCAGATTAAGAGGATCCTAGAGACTTCAGAGATCAACTCTAGTTTGAGGTATGGAATTACAAGCCCAGACAAATAAAGTGACTTGACCAAGGTTGCATAGCTGCTGGGTAGAAGGTGGACAAGAAAAGCCAGAAGCTGGGGGGCGGCGCCCCCCAGGAAGCCAGATTTCCCAATTCTTAATTCAATTCTATTTCTACTACTCCACTTTGAATTGCAATTGTTGCTTCACTTATTTAAGTTGGGAACCAACATATAGTTGACCTCTCACAAAGGCCTATTTGGAAAAAAGGATGAGGGGGCAATAATAATAACTATCATTTATTGAGTAACTATGTTTAACATTGCAACTTTATTTCGTTCCATATGAATAACAATACCATGAAGTAGATATTATTTTTACCTACTTTTCACATTTTCCAGATTATAGATTCAAGACTCAGAGGAGTTAACTGCCTTTGTCCAAGATCACAACGTTACCAAATGGCAGAACCAGAATTCTAGCTAAGATCTCTCTGCCTCCCAAACCCTCTCATTTCCCTGCAAGTAGAAGCAGGACTCTGCATGCAGCAGATTCATTTAATTCCATGTGAGAGGTGATGTTCCGCTGCATAGTTGAGCAGTTTGACAAAAATCTGAGCTCCTGTCATGTGTCAGGCAGTGTCCTAGACACTTAGGACACAAATATATCTAACACATAATTTCTGACCTCTAACTCTTCTGGCTACCCTGGAATAGAATCTCAGCTGCAAGCTTTTTCCCATTCGGGGGAGGATCGAGCAATACAACACATTGGTTTAGAGAGTAGAATCTGAAGATACAGAGACTGATTAGAATCTTCATTCCATCCCTTAGAACCTGTGTGGCCTTGACAACTTTTCTGGTCATCAGTTTCCTCATGTGACAGAGGATAATAGTCTACAAGATGGAGATTGCGTGAAGATGAAATGAAACAATCATGTACCATGGCTGACACGTTGTTAGCATGAAATGAGTATCAACTCTCATGATTAGGCTCCCATCTGTTTGTCCGGTCTACAGGATGACAGGAAACCAAGATGCTTGTTACAATATAAGAGCACGAAGGAGTAACAGCAATGACGTTGGCCTCTGAAAACAACATTCCCTGAGGCATATCCTCATTCCCAGAGTGAGTTTTGGCAAGGAGCACAGAGAATGACTATCAGAGAGTAGGGGGTAGCCTCTGTGAACCATAGGACTCATTGGTCAGAATTATATCAAGCTTGTGTCTGATTGGTTGTAGGTGGCTTTTAATAGGGAAGTGATGTCAGAGAAATGAGAGGATAAAATGGATTGGAGCCTTTTAAAGAAAGAAGTCTCCTGGGGTGCCTGGGTGGCACAGTCAGTTAAGCATCTGACTCTTGATTGCAGCTCAGGTCATGATCTCATGGATTGTGAGTTCAAGCCCCACGTCGGGCTCTGATGCTGTGAAAGCCTGGTTGGGATTCTCTCTCACTCTCTCTCTGCCCCTCCTCCACTTATGCTCTCTCTCTTTCTTTCTCTCTCAAAAAGTAAGCTAAAACTTGGGGCGCCTGGGTGGCGCAGTCGGTTGGACGTCTGACTTCGGCTCAGGTCATGATCTCGCGGTCCGTGAGTTCGAGCCCCGCGTCGGGCTCTGTGCTGACAGCTCAGAGCCTGGAGCCTGTTTCGGATTCTGTGTCTCCCTCTCTCTGTCTGACCCTCCCCCGTTCATGCTCTGTCTCTCTCTGTCTCAAAAATAAATAAACCTTAAAAAAAAAAAATTAAAAAAAAAAGTAAGCTGAAACAAAAGAACCATAGCTTCTAATGAATTCCAATA